GAGTTAAGACTGAAAAAATTGAGAAGCAGAAGCCACGCGACAACACGTCAACATGCAAGCAACAAATTCATTCTCAGTGAGTGATTCATTTGCAGAGAGTGATTCATTCTCAGTGAGTGATTCATTTGCAGAGAGTGATTCATTCTCAGTGAGTGATTCATTTGCAGAGAGTGATTCATTCTCAGTGAGTGATTCATTTGCAGAGAGTGATTCATTCTCAGTGAGTGATTCATTTGCAGAGAGTGATTCATTCTCAGTGAGTGATTCATTTGCAGAGAGTGATTCATTCTCAGTGAGTGATTCATTTGCAGAGAGTGATTCATTCTCAGTGAGTGATTCATTTGCAGAGAGTGATTCATTCTCAGTGAGTGATTCATTTGCAGAGAGTGATTCATTCTCAGTGAATGCAAGCGACGCCGACCGACGTGTGAGTTTACGTTTGGAAATAAACAATAAACGTTCTTCAGTTTGTAGTTCCAGTCAGTACTGGCTCGTTTTGATTCGTTTCCTGTCTGTCTGTCTCACACCTGCCTGTCTGTCTGTCTGTCTCCATCACAGTACCATGGTTGGTATATGGTGAACCAGCGACGCCGGGTGAGGCATGACAGTTAGCTGCGGCGGTGGAGGAGGACGTGGGTTGGCCGCGTGGCTTCCTCCTCCCACGCCTCCTCCCCCCACCATCACCACGCCTCCCCCCTGGGCCGCCTGCTCCCCGGTGGGTCGGTGCCTGGCGCTCTTCTGGTGCGCGCGCAGCCCCGCCAGCTGGGAGTAGGCGGACTGGCAGACGTGACACTTGTAGGGCCGCTCGCCGGTGTGCAGCCGGACGTGGTTCCTCAGCGTGGACGACTGACTGAAGCGGCGGTTGCAAAAGCGGCAGACGAACGGCTTGTCGAGCGTGTGGATGCGCATGTGCGAGCGCAGGTTGCTGCGGGAGTTGAAGCCGCGGTGGCAGATGACGCAGCGCATGCGGCCCACGCTGGTAGAGGAGGGGGGCGTGGTGGCGGTGGAGGAAGAGCCTTCGCAGGTGTGAAACTCATCTGTCGGGAGGAGGGGGGGGTGAGGTTAAAGATGAATTTAAAAATAAAAGCAATAAAAGCCTTATTTTGAACACCACTCTTTGTCAAACTCGCTTTTACTGTTTAAGCTTACTGTTTGAGCACCGTTTCCCACAGATACAGTGGACACCACCAGGTTCATTTATTGGCTTAGACCCTATTGGTATTTT